TAGGTCGCACCGGACTATAAGTCGTATTTATTCAGATATTTATTTTCAAATCCAAGCCAATAACAGACATTTACGGTAAACTGGAAAGGGAAGTTATTAACTACACAGGTCCGGTATGTTAACGCAACACATACCTTCTACCTGGAGGCTGGCTCTGCGAGTCGGGCTAGGGTGGCATGCTTCTACCCCTTGACGCGCTCCGACGGAGGACTGCTGGGACAGACGGGGCATCTCGGACGCACCCACTGAGCATTCGGCCGCTGGGCTGGTAGGGGTGGACCCTGCGCCGCACCGGACACAAGACGGCGGGCTAACAACAGACGGCTAACAAGCTAACAAGACGGCTAACAACAGATGGCTAACAAGCAGCTAACCCGGAAGAACCGTCCGCTCTCTTCTTCGTTTTTTTCAGTGGTACAGGGGCAGCATATAGTTGTCACAAGCCTAGAGCGCCCTCTGGTGGCTGTAGACGGTTCATGTCAGTCAGCATGAATTGACATTTAAAACATATATACGTCGCTCCTGACTATAAGTCGCAGGACCAGCCAAACTAGGAAAAAAAGTGCGACTTATAGTCCGGAAAATACGGTATGTAGAAGACTAGAAGAATACCAAATAAACTGATGCAATTGTTAATGGATATTGTTTTACAAAACACTTAGATGGCTGACCTGCAATTCAAAAACACATGAAACTTTTAAGGGATTGTTATAGCTAGCCAACAAGAATTCAAAACTAGCCTACCTTTTACCAGTTTGAGTCCTTCCACCTGAATAAGTATCACCTATGTGAGAGCTCATTATCTTTTTTTTTCGGAAACTGAACAAGGAAAGGTTAACCTGCATTGTCTCCCAATACAGCTGCTGTGTTGGGTTTGTATACTGATGTATACACAACAGTATGTACTGTATCAACATGTTTGCTTTAGATGTCTCAACTGCCATTTTTTGGAACATTGCAATCTCCTGTAGGTATTAAAAAAAACTAAGTCGATATGACATGCATGTTATGCCTGTCATATCGACTTTGGCTTTTTTATTACCTACAGGAGACTATTTGATAACACCCACTGATAAGAAAACTCTGACTTAGTTTGTCCATTTAAAGGCCTTCTTCAGAAAGCCCATCAAATCAATCAACAAATCAGCACACAATCCAATATCAGAAGATTTGGATTTTGATTCTTACATTGTGTGCACAAACTGAGAAAATCTAAATATTTCTGTATCTAATTTACAGCTTCCCCTGAGCTGCTCCCTCTGTCCTTTTTTACAAACTGACTTTTCCTTCATTTCTACAGGGATAATAAGTCTCAAAGGTTCATCTTAATGTAATCCAACATTCCCTCTAAATTTGAAAATGTGCAAAAGAAAAGATGAACAGACTGGCTTAAGCAAATGTATACACAGTTACATAAAAAAACTACAAATTCTTGCTTTGAATATTTGTATGCGTTCAGTGATATTCACAAAATCAGCTAACATGGTTTCAAGCATTTCAAAATCCCTGAATACACAAATAAGCTATACAAATTCTGGAGTAGGAGCCAAATACACTGCAACTGAAATACTCACTGAATAAATAATGACACGCCAATAGATGCAATAGCAACACTACTTCGTCATCAGCCGTTCAACAGTGTGTGTTGTTCGTAATTAAAGGATGCCATTATGGCCGGAGGCAATTCCAGAAAAAATAATGAAGTTGTCTGTTGATACATGTTACAGTGTTTATGCATTTGTAAAATACGGTAAGATAACACAGTTTATTACCAGGAAGCCATGACAATAGTAGTCCCCGCAGTGTTGTAGACTATATGAAGTTGAAATAGCCATGGTGATGTCCACATATATTTTGTAGACTCGCGCTTAGCCATCTAGTTTTTTTTATGCTGGGGTTTGAGACAAATTGCTTCCTCACACTCACACATTATGGTGTATTGAAGAAAGTTGTAACGAGTAAATAGCAATACAATTCTTTAGAAAATGTCATTAATCCATCGAAAATTGTCTCATTTTTGCATAGACTTCTATACACTCACACATCATTGTGTATTGAAGGAACTTGAAAGTAGTGATTGCCAAAGAAAATCATTGGGGAAATGTTTCCTCAGGTAATGAATCAAGTGAATAGTGGGTCATTTTCTCATAGACAATCTGACATCTGGTTGTGACAAAGGGGATCACCTCCTTTTTTACTTATTTTAACCACTTTTTCCCAAGAATATTCCCATTGAGATTCAGAATCTAGTTTATAGGGGAGTCCTCGCCAAGAGAGCAGCATAACAAGTTTTACTTAAATGAAAAGACAAACAATCTTTTTTAAGCATTACAAAAACAAGTCACAAACCCGTGCTGTCAAATATAAATAATTATGGTTTAAGGGACATATTTGTTGGCTATCTATCGCTTGTTTCCAGACACAGAGGTAATGTCCACCTCTTCTACACATGTCTATCGTTGTGCTATTACAGGCCTGACTGTCTAGTGTAACCACACTGTTTACACATTGTTAGTGTCTCATTGTAGAAGGTGTGCTAAGTGAAAATGGTGGCTCACGCTCAGGTGGGGTTCGGACAGCACTTAATTGGTTTGCTGCAGCCAGGGTTGACTCAGGGACACTTATTCCCAGGGAGAAACATCTTTTTTTTAGAGGACTACAACACACAAGGGAATGAGAACACACTGACAACATTGCATGGCAAAGATCCTCATAATTCTCAAAACATATAAAAACTCCCCAATGGATTTACTGAGAGCTGTGGGATTTGTTGGTTGGTTGGTTCAGTTGTTGTGTTTTGTTTTGTTTTAGTTTCTCTTGTTTCTTGATTTTATAATTAAATTAAGAAGGCTCTGTCTCAGCTTTTATTTATTGTAGTAGCATGTCTCTAGAGATAAGAACGTAAATTGTTCCAGTCCACCAATTTGATCTAGATATCTACAAATACAAAGCATGTCATGGATTACAATGCCATTGCAATTTGTTAAAGACATTCAAGTTCCAAAAGATACCATAGTACTGTTAAATAAAATGATTCTATTTGATGCATTCATATAATGGAATTGGAATACTTGATTAGGCCACAAATAGGGCGAAGCCTGCGAGCTAGCTCAGGCAGTCAACTCGAGCACCAATGATACATTAACACGCCACGCACCTCGTCCCTCTTACAACCAACCAAACACATCCTCCTATTTAAGCTGCCAGATCTGCCNTTTGAACCTGTGACCCCCGATCCAAACACCAACGCACTAGTCCACTGCGCCACAGCCTCCCCCTTTTAAAGTGTGATATAGAATAAAGGAATAGAAGGTTTCATTATTTGATGTTCAGAGAGTAAGCTTCAGTGTGAAAGATACACAGTTTGAGCATGTCTATTAGTCTGTTTCTGGATATGTGTCTGTTTTGAACCTGCAGGTCTCCAGCCATGGCGGGGGGGCTCTTTGCTATAGAGAGAGACTTCTTCTTTGAGCTGGGTCTGTATGACCCAGGGCTTCAGATATGGGGAGGAGAGAATTTTGAAATATCATACAAGGTAGATATTGAATAGAGCCGTGTATACACACAGAGGCGGATAAAGGACTATTACATACATACATACATACATACATACACACACACACACACACACACACACACACACACACACACACACACACACACACACACACACATACACACACACACACACACACACACACAACACACACACACACACACACACACACACACACACACACACACACACACACACACACACACACACACACACACACACACACACACACACACACACACACATACATACATACATACATACACACACATACGTACATACACACACATACACACACATACATACACACACACACACACACATACATACACACACACACACACACACACACACACACACACACACACACACACACACACACACACACACACACACACACACATACATACACACACACATACATACACACGTACACACATACACACAGGGTTTAATGGGGATGTTTTTTTGTTTTTTTTTATTGTATTGTCTTTTTTTGTAGATCTGGCAGTGTGGTGGCAAGCTGCTGTTTGTACCCTGCTCTCGTGTCGGCCATATCTACAGACTTCCGGGTTGGCAAGGCAACCCTCCCCCTGCACATGTCGGATCCTCACCTACTCTGAAGGTAGAGTGGCTCACGCTTTGAAACTCCGTACACACAGAGAAAGATATGCACTTGTCTTTTTTTGAATTCATAAATCTGTGTAAGCGCCGCGCTTCATCTTAACTACCACAGTTGGGCACAAAATGAATGCAGGCTCGCACTTTAATTACCTGTTTGCATATGACCACTACCTGTACCGGCACCACTTGTCCTTCAATCTGTCAATCAATACATATCAATAGGGTTATTGGTAAATGATTTTACAGCGCTCGTATCTTTCCAGACAGATTCACAGTACTGGATAAATGGTAAAGATCATACATGGTAAACTAAATGATGCCTTCACAAATGTACCTAATCAACATTATATTTATTTCAGTCAGACAACTCACGTGTTCTTAATATGTTTATTATAAGCAGCATATAGTTTGAGTTTGGCGTCTAGGCTCGGGCCTCATCACTCCACAGATTTACAAAGAACATTGAGTGATGATTAGATAACTACATATTTTAAATATGTTTGTAGACTGCAGTAAAATAACACAACGGATGTAACTGGATATCAACCCAAATAAACTATTATTATGGCATTTTCTTGCAGTTTTTTGTGACAAATGCATGCATTTAGCTTTTTGCATATGCAGGGTTTATTCATCTGGACCAAGGTGTGCAGTTTTAGATCCTGCATGTCAATTTGGCGGCTCAATTTCCAGTTCAGTTTGAGTCGCCGAGAGGCTAAGCTTGGCTATAAACTGTGACGCGTTTTCGAAGAGAAAGTCCATACTGAGCAAGATGTTTTANGTATCATTGGTGCTCGAGTTGACTGCCTGAGCTAGCTCGCAGGCTTCGCCCTATTTGTGGCCTAATCAAGTATTCCTTGATGCATTCATATAATGGAATTGGAATACTTGATTAGGCCACAAATAGGGCGAAGCCTGCGAGCTAGCTCAGGCAGTCAACTCGAGCACCAATGATACATTAACACGCCACGCACCTCGTCCCTCTTACAACCAACCAAACACATCCTCCTATTTAAGCTGCCAGATCTGCCTGCCTCTGCCTCGCTTATGCTGCTGCCACTGCTGTGTTCACTTGCTGCTGCTGCTGCAAGTCATGTTCATGTTCCTGCTGTTGTGTTTCATGTTGCTGCTGCTCGCCTGCCCCACCACCCCCCAGCTTCCACCCCAGCATCCACCTGTAGGCTCGGGGGGATAGTTATCTAATCATCACTCAATGTTATATGTACATCTGTGGAGTGGTGAGGCCCGAGCCTAGATGCCAAACTCAAACTATATGCTGCTTCTAATAAACATATTAAGAAACACGTGAGTTGTCTGACTGAAATGTAAAAACAACCCTCAATTGATGTATTTTAATTAAAGCATTTTAAACATGACATGAGGTTGTTATCATTTAAATAAGCTTCAAAACATCCACCTTGTAATTATCTGCTGAGAGCAGTCCGTCTTGCAGATCTGAAGGAGAAACATCATAATTGATTATATTTAAATGCATGGGGACCTTGATTTGGAGAGCTACGTAGGATTCTAAATGGCAACTTCATCATAATCACCAATCTCATCTTCAAAGTATTTTTTCCCTGTGTGCGCTCATTAGGGATGCCTGATGAAGTTCCCAATCAATATGCAGATTAGTAGCACATCAATTTGTTTTGACTCTACTGTCATCATTTTTTTTTCAGCCCAAAGCAGTCCCGCTGAAATGCTAGGGTGAAGATGTCAACACTACAGATTTCTAAACCCAGCAGTACCCTGAGCGGTGCATACATTTATGTTTCCATTTAAATTGAATGTGCAATATATATAAAGACTGTTTTTTATCTTTGATACATTGATGTTGACCAAGATCAGTCAGTATTTGTTGAAAGCACCTGGGCCCAAAACAAGCCTAATCATGTGTCTGATATCCCTTGAACAAGTTTTAGGGCCCCTCTTTAACTCTCATTCAGGTCCAAACAAGAAAGGGTTAAGAACTAAATATGTGACACATAGCTTAAACGTCCTCCTAAGGGCTGTGTGATGGGGTGAAGGTGGTTTACATAATCCCTCGACCAGCTTCATGTGGCTGTGATCTTGGTGCTCGCTGTGCCTTCTCTCCCTGTTGGGATCAAAGCCCCGGCTTTCTAAACTGACCCCCTCTGGTTTACCATGCATTGTTGAATTGGGTTTTTTCCTAGGTTATCAATATAAATCTTCATAAATACTACTAAGTTTGCTACCATGAGTGCTACAAATTGAAACATTTAACTTTTTAAACATGTACAAAATGTTTAGTTCGGATGGGGAAAAAAACATGAATCGTGCTTTTATTATTGACCAGAATAATGTGTTTGCCATAATCGAGCATCCCTAATCCATAGTCCTCAAAAGATGATTCCTAAATATTTGAGTGACCCTCCTTTAGTTATCCCCAACATTTAGTGAAAAATATTGATCGATAATGGTTTTACTTTAAGCAACACCTGACTCCAAAACCAGACGTTTCACAATTATTGACCAATCACAACAGAGCCGGCCGGCTAACCAATCCCTAGGCACTTGTTTCATACAGAGGGTGAAAAGAGTTGCTGCAGCACAGGGAGTATGAAAAAATAAAGGGCTTTTTGATCATTAAAGCATGGAGACATGTCACAGAAGCACAAACACAATGTATTCTGAGCATGCTAACCTTTCTTTTATACTTGCCTTTACTGCAGCAACACGCATTAATAAATTAACACAACAGGATCCTAGGCTATTCATGTTTTTCTGCTAATGATACTGTGATGTTGGACGGTGTCTCATATTGTCTTCTGTGGTTTCAATGGGTACAGGTCATACTTCTTGACCTGCGACAACTCTCTTTCAGTCTTTTACGGCCCGTCCACACAGCGGTGTGCGTTGAAAGCTTCACCATTCACTTTGAATGGGGTAACGTCACTTTTCGCCGAACTGCATTGAGGGAAGCGACGCGGAGCTTTGCTGGCGTGACTCGCTGCAAAAGTTGAGCAATGTTCAACTTTTGAAGCCTCCTACAGAAGCGTCAGCCAATCGAATCATATGCCAGTACAAGCTCTAGCCAATCAAACCGCTGCTTGTGTGTCAGGGGCGGGAGATTCATGTGATTGGCTGTTGGTCAAGTTTCAGACACGCCCACCGGCAAGCTTCAACGCATGCCGCTGTGTGGACGGGCCGTTACTTGTTTCCTTGCTGCTACTGTCTGTTCGCTTTGACAATCCAACTATAGCCACTTCCCTATAGTTATTCTGTGATTTTTACCACTCCATGATTTCTCTTATCCCTGCCCTCCCCATCTCCGCTCCCTGGATGGAGCTGATCCCTGTCAGTGAGGTCCCGTTCTCCGTACACAGGGGTTGAGTTATTAAGGTGGAAACCAAAAGCTCAGCAAACACGACCAAAGAGACAGATGAAGCCTCTTCCACACTCGGGGATCCTCATCACCCTTAAACTACCAGAATTTACTTCCTATCAAGCGGCTGTCCTTGTGGGCCAAACACACACATACTGTAGCAACTGTTTGTAACACCTAAGGCAAAATGAAATTAACATTCACACCGGATCTCATAATCCAAGGTTCTTGTATCGAATGGCAAGTATATGAGATTCTACAATAGTAAAATGCTTAGCAAATTTTAATGCCTGAGTTCAGCCATTGTAACAAAAATAAACAAGATTTCAGAGGCTGCTTGCACACTTATTTGTTTCAACTTTCTTTTAGAGGTACAGTAAACATGCCAAGAGATGCACAGTATCTTTTAGTAAGCAGAAACTTTGCATAAAGGCTGAGTCATGTAAAACATTATGTTGTGTAAGTGCAAAGTACTTCATTAATCCACTGATGTTCAAATGTTCTAAGGTCAGGACCACTTGACACCAGAAGAAAAGAAAAGAAATCACAAGTTTTCTGAAAGTTGTTTAGGAGGGAATAAAACAATAGAGGGCAGGACAGAAAAAACAACTCAGGCTAGCTTTTACCATCCGGTTTATAAAGGTACAATGTCAACACTTTTCCAGGGTTAAAATTTCATTAGACTCTGTCCTTGGTCATTCCCTTAGCAATCAGAGAAATAAGGTCAAGCTTTCTTCTTCAGCCCCTCCGCAGATATTTCTATCACTCAGCTACAAGAATCATTTCCAATGAGGCCATGTCATCCAGCACTCTCAGCAGAGCGGTCAAACCACCTCTGAGATTTGCACAAAACCCCCTTTCGCAAGATCCTGCATCTCCATTACAGGAATTCAAAATGTCAGTCAGTCTGGGAGCACGACTCTGGAAAGGGATGTAAACTAGACAGAGGCATAGCTAAAAATAGATCCTTTTTTGTATAAAAGCCATAAAAAAATGATTCTGACCTCTTTTTATTTGACTGATTAGCGCTTCAAGCTGAAAATAATGTGCTGCGAAGCGGTCATTACCAAAAAAAGAACACCAACATAATGATCAGGATCCCGACGTGAAACCATCATAATCTCTTTCAATATAAAAATAAATTAAAATAAAGTATTCCATATTTTGTTTTTACTGATGGAGAAAACTAATGTTTGTTGTTCAGAGTTGACGTAACATTTACCAGACTTGGGCGACTTGATATGACTGCAGTCAGTATTCAACTAAGCCGTGTAATAAATCCAAATACGTCCTCTTAGTCAAAAAGACTGCCACCAAGATGATGAACAAAATATTGGTTTTGTGCTGCAGGGTGAGTCTGTAAAGTATGACTTCTGACTTGTGAAGCTCTTCAGTAGTGGTGAAAGGCAGCTCAATACATCGGCTGTCATGCAGGTCACACGTCTGTCCACAGCTCTCCATTGACTGATTCAGCCGGGAAGTTAGAAACCTTCCCTTTCTTTTAAGATGGAGAGAAAATGTAGTAAACAACGTGGAGTTAAAAGAAGTTCCCAATAACTCATTTTTCATTCACAGGCAAAAGTTTGGTTCAATTGTTTGGCGTCATTGATCAGTCAAGGCTGTCGATATGCCTCTCTGCTCTCTAAAACATATTTTGGCTTCTCCCTGTGGACAAAAGTAGTG